TTTTCCAATGTTTTCACACATATTATTTCTCTCAATGTAGATGCCAGTGACAGAGTAGTCCCCACTTCGGAACAAGCAAAGTGACTGAACTACTTGACTTGCCCAGGGTCACCTCCTTGATAGGTCTATAACCAGGTCCAGTTTCCTAACCCCAGCCCAGTGCTTTCCCATGAGTGCCCAGAGGGACCCGGGTTGTTCGGACTCCACTCAACTACAAAGGCGCTTATCAGCCATCTTCCACAGGAGGACTTTTCAGAATACCAGATATTCACATTAAGTAGAATTGAGCGTATTATTTATTCCTTGATTTACCAAAGCTGGCCTGCCTGTGTTCTCCCTTCCTTATTTATAATTTTCATCCACCTTAAAGATAATCAAAAAGCAAAAGTTAATTCGCTGTTTCTTTGCTGTTTCAAAACGAAGTTGCCTCTTGGAACCTCTTTTCAAAAGTAGCAGCAGGTTATCAAAAAATAAAGAGATATATGTAGAAATATATAAAAGACCCATGGGTTCACATGCCCCAGGTGGCGTTCTAAGATGTGGTTTTGCTATCACTTTACCCAAGATGCCTAAGCCACCAACACTACCAACGATACCTTTGTAGTTTCCGCCTATGAACTTCAGAATTTCTAAGTTTTATTTACCTAACAGTATATATTAAATAATAATAATAATGTTCCCATTTTATATACTTCAAAGACACATTTTCCAATTGCAGCCTGTTGCAAGAGATTCAAAATATAATCAAATTTTTTTGTAAAAAGCAAAGGCATTTTGTATTTTCTCCCTAAATATGGCAGCTTTAACAAGGACTATGCAATGTAGGCAGCCATGTTCAACGGAAAATAGCAAACAGCAAGTCCCTACAACAAAACCTGCTAGAAAGGACACTCTTAAGACTCCAAAAATCAAAGTGAGTCAGGAGCCAACAGCTTCTACGAGGCAGAATGCTGTAAAAACATCTAAGGCTCAGGTCCAAGACTATCAGAATCCCAGGATCACTAGAAAATGCTCCATAGAAACAAGATTCCGTTTTTATGATGCAAAGGGAGAAGAGACAACTTGACAAAAAGACATCCTGCTTTATAAACTTTTCCAGGACAATATCTGTTTCACAAATTAAACACCCACTGATTTGAACCAAAAGCAACAGCTAATGTAACTTATTAATTACAGGATACCTTTTTTCTCCCTTCCACAGCTCTTTTAAAAACTGAATAAATGCTGCTGCCCAAATCACAGAAAGGGAAAAGCAAACATTTTTCCCCTGGCCCTAAATGCCTGTTTTCATTTCAAATAACTGTCCTTTAAAGTTCTATGATCAAGCAAAGACTCAATTTCACAAATATAAGCTCAAAAACTAGAACTCAGGATTGAGAAAAAAAAATCTAGTTCAAAATATGTAGGCAATAAAGCTCAAAATCTTTTAAGTATCAGACAGTGACTAAGCACCTGCTGCTATGTAGATTGCCGTTAATAATCAGCCAGTCTTCCCTCTTAGGTTTCTACCCCTCCTCCTGAACAAAAACAGCTTTAGAGGCCATTATTCCAGGAGGTCGGAGCACAGGTTGCACAACTGAGCTTCAACCTGAGTTCTTGGCTTGTACCAGCCAGCAGCGCAGGATCCTGCCACCACCGCACCGCATACCTTCTCAACATGAACGCAGACGTGTACATCATTCTAGGATACTCTACAAGAAGGGGAAATATTCAGCCATGAGAAATCTTGTCCACACAGATGTGGGAACTTAGAGTAAACAGTCTAGCCCATAATGACTGAAAGTTCACTTGAGAATTAGGAGGGGAAGAGAAATCTTTCATATTTAGGTAAATTAGGTGAGATGAAATATTTTTAAGTTGCCACGCAAAGGCTTCATGAAATTCCGGAGCCTTTCAACAACAGAAGACAGGAAAGAGGACCTGGCAAGCGGGGAAGAGAGACAGAGACATTCTGTACTCATTTCTGTTTTAAAAGTAGGTATAAGACAAACAGACTGGCCTCATAAAACAATGGAAATGAGAGGAATGTAGGAAGAAGTAAAACCACCTGGCAGAGCAGCGTGCTGAAGACCTCTGAGTGAGGAGATGTGAGCTTATTTGAGAGGTAACCCCAGGAACGCAGGAAGTCGCCGGCAAGGAATCCTGGGGCGAACCCAGAGAGAGGCTCCCAAAGGCCTTGCTGGGGGCTGGGAAGCCAATGACTAGTACATGCAGTAAGAAGAGATGGTCACAGAAAGTCAAAGCAAATAATAAAGACATGTCCATAAAAGGTCGAATCCGGAGGCCTTGCTTGTTCTAAGTTCCACGTGCGTTTTCCCAGAACCACAGGCTGGCAGACAGTGGAGGCAGAAGGCGTGTAGTTCTCCCGACGCCTGAAAATCCCTCCAACGGCCTAGACTCAGCAGGACCAAAACCTAACTCCCTCGTTTCTCCCAGACCCTAGCCTCCTCACTCAGGCCATCCTCCTCTTCATTCAGGGGGTTAGCTACCTTCCTGTTCATTTTATTTGAAATGCAGTCTCCACAAAATCTTTAAGAATAAAGGAATTTGTTTTCAGCGAATTTACTTACTCAAGAACTTCTTATCTCTCAGCTTTTCTCAGAAAATTTGTGCACAATCCCTCCTTTCCTGACTCACGGGAATGAAATGTGAAAGTAAATGGTTTCAAGTACATTTTAACAATAATCTTCTCTTCCTTACTATCTCCTTCTGAAAATCTACCCCTAAAAGTCATGTACAATAACCTCAGTAATTCTCAAGAAGAGATTATATGCCCTAGGGGACCTCTGACAATATCTGGAGACATTTCTGGTTGCTATAAATAGGAGAAGTAGGGCTGGTAGGAGATAGGGGAGGCGGTGACTCACACCTGTAATCCCAGCACTTTGGGAGGCCAAGGCGAGTGGATCACCAGAGGTCAGGAGTTCAAGAACAGCCTGGCCAACATGGTGAAACCACGTCTCTACTAAAAATACAAAATTAGCTGGCCATGCTGGTGGGTGCCTGTAATCCCAGCTACTTGGGAGGCTGAGGCAGGAGAATTGCTTGAACCCAAGAGGCAGAGGTTACAGTGAGCGGAGACTGCACCATCGCACTCTAGCCTGGGCAACAAGAGCGAAACTGTATTAAAAAAAACAAAAAAAAAAGGAGAGGTGGTGGTATCAGTCATCCAGTCATCTAGTGAGTAGAAGGCAGGGAGGCAGCTCAACATCCTGCAATGACCAGGACAGACAGCACAACAAAGATCAGCTGGCCCAAAATGCCAACAGTGCCAAGGTTGAAAAATCTCCTTTTAGGAGTAAACAAGAAGAAAAGAAAAAGTTCATAATATAAAAATCCTAATATTCTCTTATAAATGTTACTTTTTTTTATAGACATGAATAGACAAAGCACACATTGTATCTTAAAATTCCACAATTACATATACCATGGGTTGTAGGTAGACATTTAGAATCAATGATAACTGATGTCATCTGGCAGGATCTACAGCTGGGCAGGAGGGAGAGGGCAGGTCAGCTGATTCCCTAACATAAGCCCCTCCTAACTAAATGGAAACAGGATCGAAATATCTTACCAATAAATATCAACTCCAGCCGTATTTTTTATGTAGTTGTATTTATTTAGAGACAGGGTCTCACTGTGTTGCCCAAGCTAGAGTGCAGTGGCGTGATCTTGGCTCACTGCAACCTCCGCCTCCCAGGTTCAAGGGATCCTCCTGACTACAGGTGTGCGCCACCACACGTGGCTAATTTTTGTGTTTTGGGGGTTAGGCGCTTCGCCATGTTGGTCAGGCTGGTCTCGAACTCCTAGACTCAAACGATCCGCCTGCCTCGGCCTCCCAAAGTGCTGTGATTACAGGTGTGAGCCAGGTACTTGGCCCAGCCTTATTTTTTAAAACAGGCCTTTTGATTTTAATATTTTCTGCAAAACCAAAGTCCTCTGATGTAAACTGTGATCCAGCTCAGACCAGGCCTCTGTCTCCCTGCTTCCCCACTATGTAAAAAATTCCCATCATTAAACTTTCTCATTACTGGGAGAGGGGCTTGTGTACCTGTTAAGATTTATGATTCAGACTCCCACAAAGTGGTAAAACACTTCCAGAGGGTCTAAGACAATAACCAAAAACGCCTTAGTGTGTGCGGCAAAAATTATAATGAAAGCAAAAATCTTATCAAAGGAATGTCTTCCTTTAAGTTAACGACGTCATTTTACACCTTCCAAAGCTGCGAGGGGCGAGCCCCAAAGCAGAACGTGCGTTACTCTGCCTGGCCTTGTCCTCTGGACTTGCTTGAGCCACACACCCCGCGGTCTCAGGAGTCAAGCACTACACCTGGCTGCCAAAGCGTGACTGGCAGAGGTTAATTAACACCTGCCCTCCTCCAGGTGAATGCGAACGCGAGTGGGCATGGACCGCAAGGTTGGCCCGTGGGTGCCAGGGGAAGCGAGGGCTCGGACCACACCCGACCTCCGCACTCGAGGTCCCCTCAGGCAGGATCCGCGGCTCTCGGGGTGGGTGGTCTCCAGCCCGCCACTCCGGGAATGCCGCCGGTCCTGGATGGACACCCTTCTATTCAAACCCGACGGTGAAAGGGATCCTTTAAAACCCCGGCGTAGCTGCGCGCTCTCCCGGTAAGACGCTCCAGCACCGCCGCAGGGCCCGGGCGCCGGCTCCTGCCCAGTGCGCCCTCGGCCCATGCTGCGAGGATGCCGCCGATCCCGGGCGCTCCCAGGGACACTGCGTGCGCCGGTGTGCGGATTCAGGGAGCGCTCCCAGGTGCGTACGCGCAGGTGTGCGGACTCGGAGGGGCGCTGCCAGGGGTACACGCGCAGGTAAGCGGACTCGGGGAGGGCTCCCAGGTGTGTACAGGCAAGTGAGCGAACTCGGGGGGTCGCCCAGGCGTACGTGTGCGGACTCCGGTCCGCGAACGACAGGTCATGCCAGGGAACCCCCAAACCCGGCCCACGCTCCCTGCGCCCCAAACCGCTCATCACCAACTCACCTCTTCCAGAAATTTGGTCAAATCGTACACCTTGTGGTGCAGGATCAGCCAGGTGCTCTTGCTGTGGTTGTGCTTCTTAATCTCCTCGAGAGTGTAGTACTTCACGGGCTCGTCAGACTGCTCGGCCATCTCTGTGCGCCGCGAGCCAGGCCCAGCACACACAGCAGCGTCGGGTGGAGCAGAACGGGCGACTCGGCCAGCTCCACCCGGGACATTCCCCGCGCCGGTCACCGCACCAAGGGCTGGGCGGCCGGCTCAGGGGCGGGGCGCCATAGAAGGACCTCCGAGGGTTGGCCAGCATCTTTGTCACTCAAAAGTCCCCGCCTAGGGCCGACCCCCCCCCCACTCTCGGCCAGCCCAAGCGTGGTCCCGCCCAGCGTGGGGATGTTAATTGGCTGCCGGAGGTGCCCATCACAATATCCCGGCTGCCGCAGCGCGCGAAGGCCGCCACGGGACTCCACGTACAAAAGGGGGCTAGGGCAGAGGTGGAAGGTCGGAGGCGTCCTTGCGTGCGAGAGGGCGAGGGGCACCAGCGGGCATCGATGGGCCCGGTGCAGAGTACATTCTTGTGAGGGTAGTGACCTCGGCCGCGAATCGCGAGACTTTCCTAATCGCGGCAGCCTGAGTCCCAGAAGTTAATTTGTAACAAAAGTAGCTGTGTCCAAGTCCATTAAGGGGGCGTCTCGGGGAGCCGTTCGCAGGCACCAGAGAGATGAAAGCCTCGTGCGCGCTAGAAAACGGTTTCGCAACTCACCTCTGGAAGCAGATGCGCTGCCCACCAAAAATAAACGACGAACTCTGCCTGACCTCGCTGGGGCTTTGGAATGCCTCATCCTCACAGGAAAAAAATCCAGGGAATTCATCTTTTCCATAAAAAGTAAAAGTGTCCAAATTATTTCTGTGGCTCTGAAGTAGTTTCTCTGCAGTTATCCAATGACACGGCAAGGCCATGCTGTATACGTACAGGCTATGTACGTTCAAGGTAAATCAGATTGTTTTCTAGGAGCCTGGAAGAGAACCTCCCCAAAGGGCACCCTCTTTCCCTTGTGACACAAGGGAAATACCACATATAAAGAGCTACAAATATTTGAAGGAGGAAAAGAAGAGAAAAAAAAATCCAGTATGTTAAAATTTGATATTTTATTTAGTCCTTTTGAGCAATGTTAGTTAATTCCAAAAGGAACAACATGAGAGGTTACACATGTGGGGTCATCCATCCTTCTAGGGACTCAGAAGGCTCCTATACGTACTAGGTGTCTGATGAATGTGAGCTCCCTTTCCCCCTGCTTATCTCCTCCATAGGAATGCATACCTACCCAGAAAAAAGAAAACCCACACACACATATTTTTTAAGTATTCCAAAATGATCCATTGCTTTTCCATGTCAAGCAAACATTTCCAAGTGTAACACTTTGTTATTCAGAGATATTTCTAAAGGTTAAGTAGTGTTAAGAAGGTAAATTATTTGTACTATAATATACTAATCAGTCGTGGTTCATATATAATATAGAAATGTTTTATTTCACATTAACCAACAAAAATATAATGTTGAAATGATTTCCAATTTTTAATTGTGAAATAACTGTAGGTTCACAGGAAGTTGCAAATATAGTAGAGGTGCTGTTTTCCCCAATGGTTACATCTTTTTGTAACTGTAGTACAATATCAAAGCCAGGAAATTGGCATTGGTACAATGTATGTGCCTGCAGTAGTCCCCCCTTATCCTCAGGGGATAGTTCTAAGACTCTAGGAGATGCCTGAACTCACCAATAGTACCAAACCTGATTACCACTGTGAAAGTTGATCATACAAATGGGGTCATTCTTATCATGCCCAATTAAAACAAAGGCAAGAGGCCAGGGGGAAAAAGCACTCAGGAAACAACGTATATAACTCTAAGAATGTAATTATCTGCAATCCTAGCCAAAGAAACTGCCTACTGTTAACTTAAAACCAGTTTTATCTAATAGCTATTGAAATAACCTGCCTCTACTATAAGAGGTTTTACCCACCACCAACACTCACTAATTAGAACTTGATGTTCCCCAAAACTTTACTAGTGCTAGTGAACTTTCAGAACAATACATGTGTCTCCTTTTTATAAAGCCTCAAACTTTCTCTTTGTTCGTTGGACATACCAAAGACCACCCGTGTATGCTTGGACTTGCAATTCTTGCTTCCCAAATAAAACATTTTAGATTCACCTCTGTATTGTATTTGACTTGGACATACTTGGTATCAAAAGTGGGATTCCAAAGCTGACTCATCTTGGCTGTGGGGTTTGGATGAGGGAATTTTCCTCTTTATTTGGAGAAGGCTATCATCTTTCTTCATGAGTATGTACTTTATTTTCTGTCAGTTCTTGCATTTACTTGGCCTTTATTAGCATTTGCATCTAATTGGCTTTGTGTATTTGACATTAAACCAAATCACCTAGAAAAATTTAGTTACAAATGGGCTCTCAAAGTTTAGAGGCATGGCAAGATATTTTTTTAAACTCCAGCCGGTAACATGTTTAAACATTACAGAGATCAAACAGTCAATTGTTCTTTAAACTAAAAGACCACAGCTATAAAATCATATACCTCAAATAAGACTTAGATTTCAATTGATACCTGGAGGCAAAGAAAAAAAAAAAATCAGTACTCAAAGATTGTCTAATTACAAAATACTGTCTCAAAGCTAGCTGAGAGGCTTTCCTCTCTGGAAGCTTCTCCCCTTCTTGCAATTCCTCCTCTTCACCCTTTTATAACCTAAACTTTCTTTTTTCTAAAACACTAAAGTTATTCTGGTATATGAATTATTTAAGTAAAAATACTTGAAACCAGCAGATATAAAATAAAATTGTTTTGACCTTGGTGCTTTTTCGTAAAAGCTAAAGATTAAATTCTTATGTAAAACACTATACTATAAGGAATGGTGGCATTCTTATCTTCAAGGACAAAGAATTGGGAACAAGAAAACACTGTACAGACCTTGTTAGGGTAACTCTTATCTTCTACCCCTCATCATGTAATTCAGACATATTTCCACAGTTATTTTTTATCAAATCCACTATATTGGTAACTGCCTCAAACTGCTTTACTCAAAATTTGTTTCACAGCCTTTACAGGATTGCAAAAAAACTTAAAAGCTTAGCCTTCTCCCATTTTGTCAGAAATTTCAATTTCAATTCAACTGATTTTTAAGAAACTAGTGAGTGTATATGTTTCACTATCTCGTGACTACAATTCTAAAATAAAATCTGTAACATCTTTCTATGTATGTGTATGTGTTTAGGTAAGTTTATGTATATGTACATGTATTACGTGTTCTGTTGCATCTGCATGATAAAATCTGGTACAGTCAGCCAGAAATCCCTTAAGGAATTCTATTTAGATAACATGCATACTCATATAAAACATGTAACAACCTCAAATTTTTTTACTTTGCCTTACTTAAGCAAATCATTGATAAATTAATTGGTTTTTAAATTGTTGATAAAATTAGAAAAGTCTTCAAAATTGTCAACATTAATATTTGCCTGGGTTTACTGGTCAGTTTTATATTTGTCTCTGCTAGAGTTCTCAATGTTATAAAGCTATAAACCCAGCCTAAAACAAAATAAGGTTTGTGTATGCAATTCTTTGATGGATAAGATTAATTTAATATTGTTGATTTAATAAAAACAGCTGTATTTTCTGAGTTACCAACAGGATAACCAAATATTAAATTTTAAGGTTCTACCATAGGTAAACACTTGATATTAACAGGCTATGGAATTGTAATAAAAAATAAAATAGTGACTAGCTCTAATATTTTAATTTTCCATAAGCAATTTAGGTAAATTACTTAAATTAGGTAATTAGAAATGAAATAAACAATTATAAATGAAATTTTTATGTAATTTAAACTTTTAAAGTTATATAAAGTAATAAATACTCATTAAATGACCAAGTTATATCCAAAATGGAAACAAATTGCTAACTACATAAAAGTTTCTTTCTTGGCTTCTTAAATTTTATAAAAATACTAAATATGTTTAGGTCTATTGATCAAAATATGAATTTAGTGAAACATAATTTTATATGAGAAAAAAATCTTCAGCGGTAAATTTTTGTCCTGAGATAAAATGATTACTTTTTCCAAAATTTACAAACAGAAAAATTATAGGACTAAGAATGGGAGTTTGGGAAAATAATGAAAGTTCTAAACAAGTTGAAAAGGATTTATAGAAGATGGGCTTTGTGAGGGAAGTTTTATGTGTGATTGGATTGGCTAGGATTTAGAAAGAAATTGTTTATGTGTTTTTCTAAAAATTAAAACACTGGTGTCAGGAGTTGCTGACACAGGACCTCTATATTTAAAATAACAAGGATTTCCTGAAGTACTGATCTGTTCTTAATAAAACTGCAAGAGGTTTAGATTTTTAATTCTAAAACCTGTTTAATACCGATGTTCTGAACTGCACAATTTTTGCTGCTGCCATTTCTTCCTAAGATCTATTTAATTTCTCTAGTTTCAGGTTTAAAGTGTTGTCCTTTTCATTGAACATGGTAATTTCATTTCCTGAGGTAAAGTTTCCTTTTGAAATTTCTCAGATTCACATCTCAGAGATTCAACTTTTACTGTATCTCGTGACCTTGACTTGCAGGTCCAACATCCCTGCCCTCACCTTTTTCTTCCCCTTGTGAAGGCCTGGGGTAACAGTGCTCTTCTCCAACTTTGTTATCAGTTCCTATAACTTTTTTTTCCAGTTCTAACTCTGCTTTTTTGGCCTGAGACTGAAATATTTATCTAAAAGGCCTAAAAAGCAATATTTTCCTTCAGTGTAACTTAATTCTGTACTCTTAGCTTTTCTTGTTGTATATGAATTATTATCTTATAACTTTGGACATAGTCTTCAGATGTCTGATTAAATTTAAATACCCTTTTGCATCAGGCCTGGCATCCAGATTATCTAAATGAGCTTCCATAAGGAGAAACAATCACCCTGCCGAAGGTTTTTCTTTCCCTTTTTGGTAGCAGATCCAAGAAACAAAAATTTTACATTTTGTCAAGATAACTTTCTATGTCACCTTTATTAGATTTTTGATTACTTAGGAAAACTAAGCTTTAAAAGGGTTAAGGTTTTTATGTCTATGTCACTTTCTGGAGTCTTTTGACTATCATTCTTTTTAAATAAATGACTGTTATTTTACAGTGACCTGTTACTCTGTTTTAAGTGGTTTGAGTATTTTAACATCTTTGATAAATTTACCTAAAATCAAATCCTAAGTTAGGCCT